GGAATGAGTCGGAATCAATGGGGAGCCGCCGTTGGAAGTGAAAGGGGAGAAAAGGAAATGAAGATTAGGGTTTGTGAAACCCTTTCTTTTCTTTTATAGCTAGGCACTCTCGCCCGGGCGAGAATATCTCGCTTGGGCGAGAAACCCACAATATTTTAATGTTCCACACACGGGCTCTCTCGGTTGGGCGAGAATCTCACAGCCTGCCCAGGCTTTCTCTCGCTCAAGCGACCCATTCCTCGCTTGGGCGAGACTCCCAGAATTTCCAAATTCAAAACACTAATCCTCTCGCTTGGGCGAGATCCTCTCGCTCAAGCGAGAATCTGGCAGTATGCCCCATTCTTCAGGACTGTTACCTAATTTCAAGGAGGATAAATTTGGGGTGTTACAGAGAGAACCCGAGTTTGAAACTTAAAGAGAAAGGGCTTTCTCGCTTGGGCGAGAATCTAAAAGTATGAACCCTAAAATAGAGCCCTAAATACGAAAAGGGGATAGATTTTTGGGAGAAAAGAGAATGACAGGCAATTTTCTTGGCAAGAGCTCGTGTAAAAACTTAGAGAAATTAGAGAATAGGTAAACCTCTTGATTTTAACACTCATTCTCTTGTTGAAACTTATTTTGGACATTTGGGTCTCTTCTATTGGTATAGAAAATCATATAACTTTCTCTTTTGAGTTGTAACTTGTTGTTATCTAGCTTTTCCTTTGAAAAACTCGAGGTTTAGAGTTGGTATTCGAAAATGGGGATGATTGGTGGTTGATTTATGAAAACCCCAAAACCCAAAACGAAAATGATGTTGAAAATGGAAAACATTAGGTTAGAAATGTAGTTTATGGTTCCTAATAGGTATGTTTTACATGCTTGAAATTCCTAATGGAGATAATTTTAGAAAATATCGAAATATGAGCTATTTTTATGGATGAAAGTTTGGTATTAAGTTGTTTATGTGATAATATGAATATGTAATTGATTTTTGGTTATTGTGTATGGTGTCCAGATTTCACTTTCGCTCAAACGACCACTTCTTCGCTTGGGCGAGGTTCCTATACTTCTCAAACTTAAAACGTTGAGTCCATCGCTTAGGAGAGACCCTCTCGTCCAAGAGAGAATGGTCAAGCATGCAGCTCAACACCCTAAGTTTTCCAATCAATCCGAAAACAAAATTTGAGGTGTTACATTAAAAAAAAAATCTTGTGAAGTAATTATGACCATGTGTTTCTAGATATGATGTAGACTTGAGCACGAAGTGCATGTCCATCATTGTATTTTGGGTATCCATATAAGACTTATGTTTTTGGATTGGATGTTCGTAAATGGCAAAAATCAATGGTATCAACGTATGCGATTTGAGTGGGTCTACGACCTTGTATGTCTAGCTGAAATTTATGAACTAGCAAATGTTCTTAAACCACATTCGTTGTAGTAGAAGTGTTTGGTTGAGTTGGATATTGACTTGATGATTTTGATTGGTATGTGAAAGACTCCAAGAATCTTGTTTGTCTAAATGCTACTTGGATGAATATCATGTGTCTGTGATTGTAGCAAGTATAAATTGAAATGCTAGTGGAGATTTTTGAGTAAACCGTGGTTATTTGCACGTATGGAATGAAATGATGTTGTTTCCATCGAGTGGGTGTCGATCTAGCTATTGCATTTTTTGGTACGAGCTAGTACATCTTGGTAAACGATGAGTATGGAGTCTCACTTCGAACTCGGTTCGAGAGTGTTGTGGCGAATCTGACCGTATAGTTTGATCGTTTTGAACGATTTTGGTGGTAATAGATCAGGGAGGTCTATTGTTATGGAGGAAATACTCGAGAATCTTTAGTTCGGTTGTAATAATTTTCTCTTGGTTGTCCTAATGTTTGGCTAGGGTGTTTGGGCTCTAGAAGAGTAGCTCATGATTGGGACTCTGTGGTATCACTGTTGCGTGATATATACCCTTGCTTGTCATCTAAGTGATCTTAATGGTTTAGACGGTTGAGTCTAAGTGCGGTCGAGTGTATCTTATGCCTAACGTATAGGCGATGATAGTACTTTTCCGAGAGTAACATAATAAAATTTCGGGGCGAAATTTCTTTAAGGGGGGAAGGATTGTAACACCCCAAATTTATCCTCCTTGAAATTAGGTAACAGTCCTGAAGAATGGGGCATACTGCCAGATTCTCGCTTGAGCGAGAAGATCTCGCCCAAGCTAGAGGATCAGTGTTTTGAATTTGGAAATTATGGGAGTCTCGCCCAAGCGAGGAATGGGTCGCTTGAGCGAGAGAAAGCCTGGGCAGGCTGTGAGATTCTCGCTTGAGCGAGAGATTCTCGCCTAGGCGAGATAGCCCGTGTCTGGAACATTAAAATATCGTGGTTTTCTCGCCCAAGCGAGATATTCTCGCCCGGGCGAGAGTGCCCAGCTATAAAAGGAAAGAAAGGGTTTCACAAACCCTAATCTTCATTTCCTTTTCTCCCCTTTCACTTCCAACGGCGGCTCCCCATAGATTCCGACTCATTCCTCCTCTAAACCTCAAAAATACATCAAAACCTCTTCCTCTTGCTTCTTAATGGAACATTGGAAAGCTTTGGAGAGGTAAAAGCAACAACGAAGGTTGAAGGAGATGGAGGGAGATGAAGCTCTTTGCGGATCCATGGAGCTTACGCAACCTAAGGTGAGGGAGAAGACCATTATGGTCTTAGAGTATTTCATTAGAGCCATCATCTCCAATTTCCCTCAAGAATCAGAGCATATTAACGGATAGAAACTCTCTTGGGAGTTTGTGGTCCATGTGAGAGTCTTTATTATACATGAGCATGTATTAGCCATAAAAGTGGAGATATATGTGTGGGGAAAACCGTCTATTTAAGTAAAACGCTATATGCTCATTTATAGTAATACACCGTCATTAAAGATGGTTCTAAAGTTAATGTGTATATGATGAAGGATATGTTATGTGTGACTTGTTTATGATAATGGTTACGTTGTGTGATAATGATGGTGTGTGAGATATTTATGGCCATAAACATAAATGAGTATGTTGCGAGTGGTTGATTGTTATAAACATGTATGGGTGTGTTGTAACAATGAATGTGTGATGAGTTGATAATGTGTTAAAATGGATATGAGTACGTTTATCAAAATGAGTATGTTGTGGATTGTTATAAACCTATATGGGTGTGCGTGTCTAACGTTAATGTGTATATGATGAAGGATATGTTATGCGTGGATTGGTTATGATAATGGTTACGTTGTGTGATAATGATGGTGTGTGAGATATTTATGGTCATAAACATAAATGAGTATGTTGTGAGTGGTTGATTGTTATAAACATGTATGGGTATGTTATAACAATGAATGTGTGATGAGCTGTTAATGTGTTAAAATGGGCAAGGGATAAGTATCTTTATTATATTTAAGATGAAGCAACTATATTATGCGTGTAAAATGATGTGGTTGTGATATAATGTAAAATGGATCACCTTTGTGATGTAGTGTTGCCCATAATGGTAATGGATCACCTTTGTGGTGTAAGTGTTGCCCGTAGTGGTAATGAATTACCTTTGTGGTGTAAGTGTTGCCCGTAGTGGTAATGAATTACCTTTGTGGTGTAAGTGTTGCCCGTAGTGGTAATGGATCACCTTTGAGGTCTGGAACTGCCGGGTGTGGCAATGGATCACTTTTGTGATGTAGACTTACCCTTTGTGGTATTGGATTATCTGTGTGGTGTACACGGATGGAACATGGGTAAATATGAGATGAATAAAATATGCACATTATAGAACATATATATTATGGGATGGATGTGTACTATAGGGTGAATATGGATAATATGAGATGAATAAAATATGCACACTGTAGAACATATATATTATGGGATGTATGTGTACTATAGGGTGAATATGGATAATATGAGATGAATAAAATATGCACACTATAGAACACATATAATATGAGATATATGTGTACTATAGGGTGAATATGGATAATATGTGTTGATTGATGTATGTTTATCATGATTGATGTTAGATGTGTGTGGTTTTAATACTTTAATGTTATTACTCCATGTAAATCCACGCTACAGTCGCCGTAGTTGGTTCTTACTCCCTCTGTCTTTCCTTGTATTTGTTATGTATTTGAGTTCAGGTCGTGGCGGTCACACATCGGATGCTTGCGGAGGAGAGTACATGTTTGAGTAGTTGCTTTATGTTCTCAATGTTGTAATTGAATAATGCATGTAATATGGAGAGTATGTTAAATGGGATTTATGTATGAGTGACTCTCTCCTAAATGTATAGTTAGGATATTAAACAATGTAACAATGGAAGTTTTATGGAGAATGGATAATTGTATTTAAATGGTGTAATTAAAAGGAAGTGAAATGACATGTTTCTAATGAAGTGAACGATTGATTGTTTCCGCACCTGAAAGAGGAATCGAACTTATATATATATATATATATATATATATATATATATATATATATATATATATATATTCAATCAGGTTTTCCAAATCGTTCGAGTAATGTCTTTTAAAAGTAATCACTTCGTTTTCTTGAACAAGGTTTTAAAAGAGAATTTTTGGATTACGAAAATCGGGTCCTTACACTCTCGCTCAAGCGAGGGACTCTCGCTCATGCGAGGATCCAACAGCCCCAAAAATAATCCTCTCGCTCAGGCGAGCTAATTTTCGCCCAGGTGAGAATCTCTCAGCCTCCATATAACTCTCCCTCGCCTAGGCGTGCCAAATCTCGCCCAGACGAGACTCAAAGGGAAAATCCTGGGAGAAATTCTGGGTTTCTCGCTCAAGCGAGGCTCTCTCGCCCAGGCGAGAATCCTCCAGCTTCTCACAGGCCTACTGAGTTTCACCAAGCTTTAAAGAGGAGAAATTAGGGGGTTACAGTAACAATAGCCACAAACAATCAAATAAATGACATAAGAGAAATAGAAGAAAAAATGATAGGAGAATTTGTTAAAGGAATTTAGTCAATTATGTTTACGTCACTGAGAGCGTTGAATGTCTACCAAGATGTTATTAGAGAATAAAAAATACAAACTCTAGGACACTCATGAGTCCAAGACCTATGTGGTATTTCTAATTGGTGCACATTATAACAAGGGACTTGAGTCTAATATAACATTGGTTTCTCTCATCCATTCCAATACTAGGAAATGTGAGATTTCGTACATTAATATATTTCAAACATCTCAACAATCTACACATTGATTGAAAGAGACGAATATCTCGCTTCTTGGGAAATCTACATAACAACCTTTACCTTAGCGAATATTCAACTTAGCTTTGTTGAATCTCTAACTCTCTTTACCAGCTCCTTCACAAAATAATATGATCCCCTTAAGCACAGTCATTTATGAGTATCCCCTTAAGCACAGTTATTTACCAAGAACTCAACTTTCCAAACTTAGTAGTGTAATGTATCTTTGTAATTTGATGGTGGACTTTACATATAATAACATTTAAGAAGGAAATGGAAGAATATATAAGCCTCCCCTAGACACGAAAATCGTGATAGAAGTCCAACTTCATACTATATATCTATAAGTAAATGACAATAGGAATAAAAAATTGTATTAAAAAATGAAGAAGACTTAAGAAAAGGAAACAGCTACGCAAAGATAGCGATTGATAATCTACTTCGATAATTGGTTTAGCATACTTGACAATGACCATCAGCAAATCAACTTTGAGAAAATCAGGATGTATGGATGTGGTTCTTTTTAGTCTATCAGGATAACATAAATTAAAGTTTTTCTTTCATATTTTAAATTACACTTCACAATTGTAATTTTAATCACAATATTATAATTTCAGAAGTCTATAGAATGGCATCGCTATTGCATGGCCACATTTTCCCCGTATTTTCCATAATTGCGATAAATGTATCATAACTCTATTATCACGGACATGATTTAAAACGCAAATATACATATGAAGGACAACAAATTGGTTTTTATCATGCTGAACACACCACCGCCGCAACACACCACCGCACACAACAAATGGAAAGTTTGGGTTAAGTCAATAGTGCGAAAATGACTGTTTTGGTGGAATGGTTTTTGGGATTGTAGATTAATGGGAGAGAGGAAAGAAGGTTTGGGATGATGTGGCGGTGTGTTGCAGCGATGCGGCAGTGTGTTGCGGCGATGCGGCAGTATGTTGCGGCGGTGCGGCGGTGTGTTGCGGCGGTGTGTTACGACGGTGCGGTGGTGTGTTGCGGCGATGGTGCGGTGGTGTGGGAAGGTTTAGTGGTGGTGAATGATTTTGGTGTTTTGGGATGAGTGAATTAATGGGAGAGGGGAAGGTTAGGGATGATGAGTGGATTTTTTGAAATGGAAATTATAAAACTATTCTTATTGCTAACTTTATAATAATTAAAATAGGAAGGTTAATTTTGTCCAAAATTTTTGGTGCACAAGGCTAACCTGCACCAACTAAAAAAACTCATTTCCCTAGGTTAGCAAAACCCTATCTATATATGGTTATTATAAAGATTTATACACAATTATCAATACACCATTTATCACTCATTTGTAATACTTTTTTGAAGAATCAGTGATAATTAAAAATGAGTAGTAGATAGTAGACTAACAATATATAAAACTATTATACTATTAGTGCATATCTTTTTTCTCATAAAAGAAATACAAAGGAAATTAATATAGAAATTGAAGAAGGCGCCTCAACAAAGTCATGCAAAAATAGAGGCAAAGTTGCTTGTCCGGTTGTGGTGTGGTATGATCAAACATAATAGTGAGTTCCTGTCTCAGAAAGGATAGAAAAATTGGATAAAATAATATATAGAAATTCTCTCCTAATTTGCCTTCACCACTTGATAAAATAGTAAAACACAATAAACACAAACATCAATACTATCCTTATGAAATCTATTCTCAAACTTCTATTCATATATCTCTCTTTCTTTCAGTGTGGTTGAGAAACTATCAAAGAGATTCATGCTTGTAGAAGATATGGAAATTACATTTTTATTTTCTCTTTACTTTAATAGATAATAGTCCTATTTTGATGTCACATTTAAGTACAAATTAGGGTGCATAATAAAAATAGTATTAAAAGGCTAAAAAACAAATAATGAGACGGGGCCTATTACTCAGTGGTTTTCCATCCTTATCTAGGTCCAAAGTCTAGGTCATTTTCAATTGCCAAAGTCATATTTGACTATCTAAGTTTTGATAATAAGTGTAATATTTATGTGTAATTACTGTAAAGATTTAAACACATTCAATATAATATTTATCATTTATTTGTATTACTTTTTTGAAGAGTGAATAATGATTAAACACAAATAGTGGATAATACAATGACTGTATAAAACTCATAAACTACATGCATACATTTTTTTTCTTTCGTGATTCTCATACTTAATTTAAGAAGGTATATTAAGATATAAACAAGTAGGTCACACAAAGGAGAGAACAATGTAGTCCTGATTCCACCCCACATATCAAAATGTGTATTGTATTAGTCACCAACTACTAATAGGTCACTGTGTTGACCAATAGAATAGTTTGAGACAAGATACAAGATCCAGACCGCCCTATTACAGTCAATAAGATTTAGATTCTGACCTATAAGATAGCTTAGAAGTAAAGACTCCCCTAGGAGATAACACCTAGGAATCGTCATATCCTAAGATTAGGCTTGCCAGAACGTGTTACTGATAAGAGAGAACCATGTCATCAATGGCAAGGTAAGTTCATCTCAACCAATATTAATAGAGGATGTTACTACCTAAGAAATGTTATTTATCCATCATCTTTAATCTCATTCATCCTCTATAAGTACTCACTTGAGCATTAGAGTCCATTTTCACGTACTCAAGATTGTCGAATGATGATCCACGATTGACCCCACCAAAGCCACTATTTCCATGTCACCCCATTCAAAAGCAAAGAATAGTCCTAAATTTAATAATGTGTGAAATGTAACTCTTCTAATTTACAAGTTTTAAATATATTTAATTTCTTATCTTTGAGGGCGAACAAAATTAACAACAACAAAAAACGTTTTTAAACTAGGTGAAACTAAAGCTATCATGTCCTTGCAGAATTCACTTATTCTTTTAGTCAATTTTATTTTTGTTGATGTCGGGTAGTGACAAATACACAATATTTACTACAAACAATCAAATAAATGATATAAGAATAAATAGAAGAGAAAATGATAGGATAATTTTACATCATTGAGAGTATTGAGTGTCTATCAAGATAATATCAGAGAATAAGGATTACAAACTCTAGTACACTCATGGGCCCAAGGCCCGTGTGGTATTTCTAATTGGTGGATGTTATAACAAAGGACTTGAGTCTAATATATAACATTGATTTCTCTCAGCTATTCCAATACTAGGCAATGTGGTACTTCGTACAATAATATATTTCAAGCATCCCAATAATCCTCACCTTGATTGAAAGAGACGAATATCTCTCTCTATGGGAAATCTACATAACAACCTTCACCTTAGCAAATATTCAACTTCACATTGTTCAATATCTAACTCTCTTTACCAGCTCATTCACATAATATCCCTTCATCATAATCATTTCTTATTATCTTTGACGTTGTTACCAATAGCCTAGCTTTCCAAACTTTCAATGCAACTTCTAGTGTTGATGTCTAATGGAAACAGGTCAGGCCGCCTATCAGGGGCCTAGTACCTGACCTATAACAAGTCAGGCCAGACTATGACTTTTCAGTAAACAGGTCAGACTTAGGCTTCCCCAATAGCACATTTAACCTAAATATGTCAGACCCAGGTCTTCAAAAAGCCTATTAAGTCTAACAGGCCGACATGTATAATGTTATTATATATTTATAAATTATTTTTATAATATGTACAAGAAAAAACTAAATAACAATTTTTTTTATGTAAATCCACTAGGACTTAGAGATTAGACAATTTAATAATTAGACATTTAGTTGTTGAGACTTGAGCTTAAGTACATAACCCAACCCATGTAAGTATGTAATTTTAATTAACTAAATGTGTAACATGTAAGGACCCAAATTCTACCCTTGAAAATTTTTCCTTATTTAATCCAATTTCATACATTTAACGATAATTATAATTACAGAGTGAATGAACTTATTTAAAAGATCTCACTTCCCTCCTCAAACCCAATCTATAAACCGAAAGTAACATACCAAATTAGATAGCAGAAAACATAATTCGTATTAATGTAACTTAGTAACGGCCGCATACAATTAGCTATGGGTTTCCAAAACAACCATAGCTTCATATATCTCGGGTTACTAGTTTCCATGATTAATGCCATGTACAACAATCAGGTTTATAATTACAAAATAATTAGTTCAAGTACAACCAACGATGTTACAAAAGAATGGATAAGAGACATCAAAATAAAAGTCTCTAAACTCCTAATCAAAAACACCCATACTCCTTCCACCTACTTGCAATGGGATTAACATTGACAATACACCAAGAAACACAAAGGAATAAGTCGTTAACTCAACAAATATCAATGTAAGTTAATCCACATTTAATAAGGTTAAATAAACGGTTTAAAATCAAGTTTACTTTAAAAGCAAATTTCAACGTTCATACTTTTGAAAACCATGCTACATAACTTGAGCCAAAGTTTGCTACATTGCTTGAGCCAAAGCTTGCTACATTACTTGAGCCAAAGTTTGCTACATTGCTTGAGCCAAAGCTTGCTACATTACTTGAGCCAAAGTTTGCTACATTGCTTGAGCCAAAGCTTGCTACATTGCTTGAGCCAAAGCTTGCTACATTACCTGAGCCAAAGTCGCTAACCAATCATGGTCGGCTAAAAACGAGTTTTATTTCCATTGGCACTCCACCAATACATTTTTCCGAGTTTTATTTTCATTGGCACTCCACCAATACAAAAACAGTAAATGCACCCGACATCATTACAAACATACACATATATACTTATAACTACAAAGTGATCTACGAATCATTTCTTTACTCCGAGTTTTATTTTCATTGGCACTCCACCAATACATAAACGGTAAATCCACTCCTCGTTGTTACAAACATACCCATATATGTTTATAACAACTAAGTGATTAACGCTTCATTGCATTATTCCGAGTATTATTTCCATTGGTACTCCACCAATACATAAATGGTAAATCCACTCCTCGTTGTTACAAACATACTCATATATGTTTATAACAACTAAGTGATTTACGCTTCATTACGTCATCCATATCAGAAAATCCACACATTTTCTATCACAGTGCATAAGTTAAAGACTTATCCTTACCTCGGTGAGTGTTGGGTATGGGTTCTTGGCAACTCATCAAGTTCCACTGACACCGCCTCCAACTTTAGGATCTTTCCTCATCCCACCATATAACACAAGGTTAGTCATTTATACCAAATATCACATAAACAACTTATATTGCATTATTTAACCATACAAGATATTCGTCATATTTTCAACATTAGAAAGTAAACTCATCTTCAACCTCTAGCATTTTAACCATTTTCCATTTCAACCCCATTTTCTCTTTAGGGTTTTGGGGTTTTCATGACTAACCCCACACAAACCCTCTCTTTTCTTGAAATACTAACTTTATACCAAGAGTTTACAAGATAAAATCACATAAAATGAACCATAACTCAAAAGGGTGAGTTTCCATGGTTTCTCTCACTATGAGAA